CGACGCTGTCGACCGGCTTGCGTCTCTTCTTAGTACCCACTGTCGGTGCGAATGCAACCCTTTAAATGGTACTGGGAAATAGTTCGCGCAAAATCGTCCCAGTACTTTAGTACTGTACATTTACTTCTGGAACTAAAGCGGTGCGAAAGGCCCTAATGATGACTAGAAAGTTCAGAAGGACAGCATTTATCTGAAATATAAATATTTTGTAACATAAATGTCTTTATCATAACTTTTGATCAATTTAAAGCATCTACATTTCTGTCCCCCTCACTTCTGAAATGATGGCTACGCCCCTGGAAAGAAGGCATGCTATAGAAGCAAAATAGCCTATCCCAAAATGTCAAAAATGGACCAACCAATTAAACAACTTAAGAAACATATTCTTCTCAGTTCCCTCCAAACGTGTTTACTATTAACAATTGTAAAGGAAATGTCCAATTCAACAGAAGACTGGAGCCGAGACCCGCTAGGATCGAGTTAGTTAGATTCGTGAACAAATCGTCCAGTCTGTGAACGAGTTCAACGATCCATTGAAAAGATCCGACTCAAACGAACAATTAGTTCACGAATCGAACATGCACATGAAACATTGGAAATACCCATATAGGAAATACCAGACTGTATAAAAACAGGGAAATACCCAATTTTCTGAATAGCCTACATCATAATCTGTAAACTCCTCACAACTTAATACCAGCATCAGCAACAGTTGATGTTCACAATAACGCAGGCTGATACTGTGAGCATTAAGATAATGAAGATATTTTGTCTAAGAATGTTTCGTTTTTTATGCAGCAGTGTGTAGCCTGTTTAAGTAAATAAGAATTAGAAATTAATTTTCATAGGTAATTTACCAATTAGAAATTACAAGTAGCCTACATGTGGGCCAAAGAATGATATTATTCTAACTAAGTTATAAGGCACACATTTCATTTAATAAAAGGCCATTTCAACCACAAGAAGCACATTGAAAAGTAAGCCGAGATGCTATTTTATAAGGCCAAAACTAACTAAGCACAACAGCATCTTGTACTGCACAGCCTCAACGGTTATAAAAAGGGAGCATCAGAACAGCAAATTCAAGTTATACATTGAATTCAAAATATATTTAAGTGAACAGGAATCAAAAACATTCTGTACATTTTGTTTATGCAACACGTTCAAATTACATCAAAAACATGACAGTAACAGTAAAGATATGAAATATGACATTTTAATGATGCAGTTTACTTCATACAAAGTTTATTTGCTAAGGTGTTCTTGTACCTTCCCTAAGTATACAGCTTTGCTGTAGTGTGTAAAATGCACATCTAAATTTGACCATATTTGAATATAATGGAGATACTCTATAGGCAAGAACCTTTGGTGGATTTGTGACACAGGTCAAGACAGGTAGATCCATAACATCAGTAAACCGGGTGCTATGTAGCACTTTAGTACTGCAACAACACCTGCTTGATGAATGTGGATGTGACCTGTTTAATTATGGCTGTCCTGCTCCCGCTTGCTGATTGGCTGACTTGTGTAATGGCGTCTCCTTGTAAAGGAACCAGCAGTTTCCTCTCCACAGGATAAGGTTGAGGAATCCAAAGATCTATAAAAAATTCATAGATTCACATCATTTGCATTAGTAACCTCGCTTGATTTGTTTTGAATTCATTTGATTCACATTACATAAATACTGACAAAGGATAGCAGTAAAAATAGGTGGGAAAATAGGATGGATAAATCATAAGTAATTCTGTTAAATTATCCAGGTATGATGTCATGGGTCTAGTATTTTGCTATACATTATAGTCCTCCTACCACTGAGGAATTGAGGCGGCCCATTGAGGGGATGTGCCCAGCAGTGCACTTGTTTCCTGTTTGTTTACACACTTCAGTTATGTACACAAGCGTATTCGGACTGGTTGAAATTTTCACATCCGTGAGGCCTTTTCCCCATGCAGATGAACACACCAGCCAGAGAAAAGCGAAGATCCCAGTTAACAGTAGATCCTAAAGAGAGTAATACATGTAAATTGAAATATATATAAATTATACATTAAATGCATTATAATTAATATTATTATTCTAATATACCAGTCAAATGTTTGGAAAACAGAAAAAAAACAGTAACATTATGAAATATTAATACAATTTAAAAGAACTGTTTTCTTTTTGATTTAAATGAATATTACGTTCAAAAGAACTGCATTTATTTGTAACAGAATTCTTTTGTAACATTATTTCTTTCTTTACATTCACTCTTGCTCAATTTAATGTGTCCTTGCTGAATAAAAGTATTTATTTTTTTTATTAATTTTTCTTTGTACATTCTGCAAATTATTCAATGGTAGTTAGTGTATGATGGTTTCCACACTGGATATTTAGCAGCAAAAAATGATTATTTATTAAAAATAGGAAATTAGGGGTGAACGATATGGCAAAAATATCGTATCACAATTTTCTTTTCAAGAAAATCATGATTCACGATTTTATCATGATTCTTTGTCATGCTGGTTTTACTATTTTGGAAGTTGTCTGAGCAGCACAGCCAAACTAATTTCCCAATTTTAAAAACAAAGCCTTATAAAGTGAAAGCCGATCCGGCGATCCACAGCGCGAAGTTGATGTATTTCCTCAGCGACCAGCACAGATCAGCTCTAGGCATGACGAAGTGAATATCGTCCTCTTTTGGAAGGCCAAACAAAGTAGTTTCGCTTTCACAACGAAACACACAGCGCCTTCACGGCATGGCAGACGGCGGCGGCAACAATATTACAGCGAGAATAAAAGTTACGCCTTCTTTCATTGCGTGAACATTTGGGCGGTGTTATGCAAATCTTACCACATCGTGACGTAGACGTGGGGGCGTGTTAGAACGAGCCGTTTTAGGTAGGCGTGGTTGACTCTTAACTTTTATAAAGAATATCTTTTTGGATTTGAGACTTTAGTCTTTGCAACTCTACAGATCTTCTTTATGCACCAAGAGCTTGTAACACTCCAAAGAGAAAGGAAAATTTGAAATCACATCATATGACCCCTTTAAAGGAATAGTTCGCCCAAAAATTAAATTCTGTCATCATTTACTCGCTCTCAAGTTGTTTTAAACCTGAATTACTTTCTTTCTTCTGCTCAACTTGTGTTGAGTAACCAAACAGTTGCTGGTCCCCAGTGACTTCCATAGTATTTTGTTTTCCTACTATCAAAGTCAATGGGGACCAGCAACTGTTTGGTTACCCACATTCTTCAAAATATCTTCTTTTGTGTTCAGCATGAGAAAGAAATTAATACAGGGTTGGGACACCTGCACGCATTACTTTCACTTTGACATAACCAACTGTGTTTATATGTAAACCTTGTGTGTTTTGACAGTATTAGCGCAATCAGACACGAAAGATAACTTAGTCCAGTAAAGAACAGCACACTAATGAAATGTTTAACCTTAACCTTTTTTTAAAGCACATGCAAATAATGTACATTTTTGATTTCGAATAAGTGCAGTGTCCCGTAAGTGTAACCCTACCGCTGAGTTAGCATTTGATGTGAATGTATGTCGCGTTGTACAGTACTGAGACGGAGGCGCCAGAACTGCAACTGATAGAATGTGCGCTGTAGCGCGATACTACTTCAAAAGCAGATCGTGGAGACATTTTAATCGTCCACGATCAAAACTCGTGATATCGCACACCCCTATAAGAATTGATTCTTGAAGCCCAAATCAGTATATTAGAATGATTTCTGAATGATCACATGACATGGAAGACATGTCAATGAAAATTCAACTTTGCCATTGCAGGAATAAATTACAGAAACTAAGCATACAAGACTTCTTTCAGACACATTTCTTTAAGAATATATTAATTATTACACAAGTATTATGTTAATAAATGTTATCTATGCACCAATGTTTTATATTTGACACTCAAATGCCTTTACTTTATCCCCAGGACACTTTGTTTGGACTAACAGTTGCAGCTGTTGCCAGAAAAACCCACCCGTTTCTTCATTTACACACAAGTGGAACTCTTCACAGCTCAGAAACAGCTCACAAAAGTTCATCCAACCAAGTGATGCTGAAATCCAGCATAATATCGAGCAGACTAATATAATGACTGCCAGGAAATGTATAAATTAACTTATCAGACATGCAGTGGCTGGCATTCATTTCCCATACAACGTCTGAGTCAGCCATTAAATATATAAAATGGAATATGAATTTAAAGGCATGCACAGACATAGCGGAGGAACTCTGAAAATACATACAGTACACACTCACAATGTTGGGGCCGCGAGGAGATTCACGGTAGATGTGCTGGTAACCCAGATACAACACAATTCTGGCAACCACAGCTGCCAAAATTATTTTGTAAAAACTACAGAATTTTTTTTACAGTGTAGCTGTGCTGTACAGGAAAGCCAGAACTCCAATAGCTACAAAGAACTCAGCGGAAGATGAATAATCTCCAGTCAGTTGTTTGAGTTTAAACATTGTTGTGTTGACTTTGCAGTCTGGCACACTGTAACTCTGGGTATTGAGCCTTTGTAACAAAGAATAATAAAAAAAGGAAATTATTAAAAATATTTTTATTAAAAACAATGAGTTTCATATGTATTTGAATCATACTGTTTACCTAAAAGGATAGCTGAAGGATACATCTATTTCTTTGCTGGCATTGTCCTTGCACTGGATGTTGAAACTGGTAGAGCCAGAATAACCCCCAGTCGTAGCAAAAGCAAAAATAGCAAATATCTGTAAAGACAGTTAGTGAATACAAAGAGGTTTAATGAATGTATGTTTATATGAATGCATACAAATGGAAACCACAGGAAGCGTGCACACAATTACACAGAACTAAAATCAGCATATGAAGAAATACAAATCAATTTCTAACAGCGAATCACCATTAAAAGCCCCGCACACAGCCTTACTGCTTTCTGCTTCCTCTTTTTAATGGCTGTTTCAAAGAAGAAATGCTTATTGTGGGTTTTAAACACCTTAAAAGCTGTATGATGGTAATAGCCGGTGCTTGCCTTAAATAAGGAGAATGACAGAGGCATGATACATATTTGTGCATTGATAAAAAAAAAAAAAAGAGTGAAGAATGCATGAGCCTCTGGATAACATGCATGGCAAGTAATACCAAAAGGTATTTAACAAAGACAGGCTACAGTAATTGTTTACAGACACTTTATCTTTAAGCTATTTGGTAAAGCCCAAAGATAAACTGAGCCATACAAACGTTGCATCAAGAAAAAAACTTACCCACAAGTAAGCTAAAAAAAAAAAGGGATTACAGATTTAAAGTGTTTCTTTAAAGCTAAACGCTTTAAAGAATGGGAGAATAATGAGAATGAGAATAATGTTGTCATTGTTTCTTTTTTTATAATAACTTGTGATGTACCTACACAGAATAGCTCAAGATCATGACTGAAAAGCACGTACCCATTCCAGTACACGTATAAATCCCAGAGGCTCTTTCAGAGGGCTGAGATCTAACCGAAACGCGCTCATCGTGTTCTGCAAATAAAAAAGCATCAGTAGCGGGTAGCGGCCCATCAAACCGGAAACATTATGAAGCGCGGCACATTTTGCAGCAGCATTTTCTAGAAAAATCTTTTCTCACTAGTTTCGTCATCTGAACAAAATTCTGCATTTAGCTTGAGCGAATTACAGTGTGTAAAGCGGGAAGCGCTGAGTTTTATTGCACTGACGAAAACATTAGATTGAGAAAGATTACCTTGTCTAGTCCCCAGACAAATATAAGAAAGTTATATTTCTTATATATAACTTGTCCTTTCACTTTTCTCGTTTCTGCTTTAGACAGGGGTTTGACCACGTGATTCGTGACGTGGTACCGTCCGTCACCCAGACAAACTGAGGCATGCGGGGTCATGATGCTGGTGGCCGCTTGCTGTGTGGTTGGTAGATCAGAATTGACGACAGCGAAAAGACATTTGACAGGGGAAGAAGGATTCGAACCCTCGTATGTCGGAATCAAAATCCGATGCCTTAACCAACATGACGATTCTGCACTGGACACTGCACGAATGCAGCGCCCGAAAACATGCAGCGTTTGCTAAACGGCCCAGCCAACCAATGGATGCTCAGCGAGTGTCTTGCAAACCTTTTGCTGCCAGCCCAGCGGGTTTGAGCTTGCGTCGAGCTGGAAATCAGCCGGACACCGCGCAAACACCGCGCTGCCAGAGCCTGTCATGCGCGGCTTTAAGCCCTGCTTCTCTAAAACCGCAAGAGCTTGACACAATTGCGGCTCGATCAGCTCGGCAACAGTCTGGAGATCATTGCGGCCAAAGCCGTAAGGATTCTCAGCAAAGACCGCGAGTATAGCATGTGGCGTATCGCGCTTCAAGGCTTCGTGACCAAAAATCGCTGCTGTCGATAAGCCGTTTTTCGGCTTGATGATGACCAATGCCTGACTGGTAGGCAGGATGCCATCGCTGAGGGGCTCGATCTGCTCACCGATGCCGCTGACCCAGGCGTTCCTGCCGCGCAGAAAGAAGGGTACATCAGCACCTAGAGAGAGGCCAATTTGCTCTAATGTTGAGAGCGGCTGATTCAGATTCCATAGGCGATTAAGGCCTAAAAGACAAGTCGCCGCATCGGATGAGCCGCCGCCCATGCCCGCTTGAGCAGGGATGCGCTTTTCAAGTTGGATGTGTGCGCCTAAGGTGCAGCCCGTGGCTTGTTGCAGGGCTCGGGCGGCTCGAATGCAGAGGTCGCCTGGGGGGAGTTCTGCTCCTGCGCAAGAAACTAGATCTTCGCGAGAGATCTGTCCGTCTTCACGCAAGCTGAGATGCACAGTGTCTTGCCAGTCAATGAGCTGAAAGACCGATTCAATCCAGTGATAACCATCGGCGCGGCGACCTGTGATGTGCAAAAACAGGTTGATTTTGGCGGGGGCGGGCAGGTTGCGCAGTTCTTTCAAAGCTGCATTCATGGCTGCTCCAACTACAAACTGTATTGTGTATAAATGTTGGCAGATATTATTTGGAGACATTTCTGGGCATTTGTTTTATTAATATAAATAAGTCTTAACCCTCTGGTCCTCTTCATTTAGGAGTAACACTTGGCTCCTTCGCGGTCAAAAGTGACCGAAGCCTTGAAATGTAACTTCTTTTTTCTTTTTCTTTTTCAGGAAAAATAATTTAATACAGTTTTGTTCAATAATATATTTTTGATTATTATTTAGAATTTTGAGGGGATTATAAGATATTATGCAATATTTATACAATTTTAATTAGCTATTTTCCCCCACAATAATTAATGTATATTTGAAAAGCTGCATTCATGGCTGCTCCAACACGATGCTAGCACACTGCGGTCAGGCCAGCCGCCAAGTCGAAAAGCACGGTCAATCTAGCCGCCACGCTATTTCGAGGGTCGCGCATAAACTTCATGTTACGGTAAGACTGTCAGAGAACTGATCTGAATAAAACTGCTCTTCCCAGTAGCCCCTCGCTACAGAACAAAGATCCAGGGGGCGGGGTTGGATCCACATCTAGGGGGTGGAGATGGTAGGTTTAGGGGTGTAGATGGGTGGGTTTAGGGATCAGGGGGTGGAGACGGATAGGTTTAGGTATATGTAAGGTGGGAGGAGCTGGATCTGGATCCAAACTCGCCCCCTGGATCTTGTGTTCTGCAGTGAGGACCATCTCGCTCTTGTTGGATGCAGGGTTGCCAAGTCCGGGTTTTTTCCATAGAATTGGGCTACTTTTAAACTGTTGCCATGGGTTGATTTTCCCAAGTGGGTTAAAGGTTTGAAATATTGCATAAATTACATTTGACAGAAATGCTTGTATTGAAACATTTTGTATTCTACCTATGATAAAACTTTCATGGACTTCTACATTAACTGTTCCCATCGTGGAATGACCTGCCCAGCTCAATCCAAGCAGCTGAGTCCTTAATATTTTCAAGAAACGGCTGAAAACACATCTCTTTCATCTTCATTTGACCATCTAACTCTAGCACTCTCTATTCTAATGCTACTTCTAATTTTATCTGCTTATTTTTTTATACGCTGCTGTGTCTCTACATTCAAAAAGCTATAAAAATAAAGGTCCTACATTGCACAGACCAGTTTCGCCTCAGGTTGAGACTGAGAGTACACCTTACCCCACTGTCAGCTGCATCGTTTCAGGACTGTCTGATGTGGAACTACAAAATAAGAGTTCTTACAAACTGTATTGTGTATAAATGTTGGCAGATATTATTTGGAGACATTTCTGGGCATTTGTTTTATTAATATAAATAAGTCTTAACCCTCTGGTCCTCTTCATTTAGGAGTAACACTTGGCTCCTTCGCGGTCAAATCTTGTGTTCTGCAGTGAGGACCATCTCGCTCTTCCGGCAAACGCGACTTTTTTTTTCTCAACACAGCCCAAATGATAGGCACCACACATTCCGTCACTGGCTGATGTTAAATGACAAAATAAAAGCCCTCAAATAATTTAATTTGTTATTTTTTAATAAATACAACATTTCGCATTAAAATAGAGTGAAGGCATTTAAAATCCATTTTTTGAAGTGAGAATTGTTCCATCTGGAGGCGTTAAAAAATAAAAACTTGTGTAATGTTGCGTAAAATCCTGCATAGCTCCCTATATCAATATATACAGAGGCTTTTGGATTCCCGTTGTTTTTTAGACATCATTTCTTCATTTAATCAGGTTTTGCATTTAGATATATATTTAGACATTCTAAAAGACTACGTTTTGTCAAGGTTTAGATATTTTTGGTTAGATAAATATCAGGTTTTGCATTATGATTACAATCATACATTATTGTGTTATATTCAGTGTTGGGCAGTAACTAGTAACTTAGTTACTGTAATAATATTACTTTTTGCAGTAACTAGTAGTGTAACTAATTACTAATAAGATTTCAGTAATAATATTACAGTTACTTAATTATTAGCTTAGTTACTTAGTTACTTTTGATGCCTCAACCCCGCTGGTTTAAAATCCAACAATCAAATAATTCCTACATTTATTTTCATAGTTTTCACGACTCGCAAATGCATGTGATGTCCCCAGTGCAGCAGGCAAGCTTGGAATATGGAAAAGCTTACATTCAGCAGATAGAAATATTGCATTATATTGATTTTGTCAGGAAAAAAGATGATCTGAGCACTGTTGTGTAAGTTGTGGCTTTACTTTACTCTGGCATTACATCCCACCCACATCCCTCTGATCAGCATGTGGTACATTATATTACTATAATTAAAAATCTTTTTGGAAAATTAAAGTTTCTTACAAACTTATGTGATTTGATAAAATACATAATGAAATATAATCGTATATGGGTAACGGAGAAATTACAATTAGCTTCAAGCTACACATGACAATTAATGAGATTAATACAACACTTCTACTTGAATGTCACTATCAATCACTAGAATTTTATGTGGAAGACACACAGTTACAACTTCTGTGGGGCGTGAAGAAAAAGTAATGTAACGTGTAACTAATTACTGTTGCCAGAAAGTAATAAGTAAAGTAACAATATTACTTTTTAAATGAGTAACTAGTAATGAGTAATTTATTACATTCTTTGAGTAAGCTAACTAGATCAACACTGGTTATATTACACAAAACTATTGTGTGTGTGTAGCGTGGGTGTCTGTTTTGCACTCTTTATATTTTAGAGTGTCACCCCTTGATTGCTGTGCACTTTTTTTTCTGCACAGTGGCTGATTTGTAGTTTGTACCACCAAAAGATTCACTGAGTTGTATTTTTTAGTATTTCCCATTCATTTCCTATGTCAGTCATTTAAGGAGCCAAGTGGGACTTTTTTTTTTATTGACCCTTTAACATATCCGAATCATGTCCATGATTTTTGTGTGTTCACATTGCTAATGCAACAAAAGTCACAAAGTGTCATCTCATTCCGATGAAGCTACGATTTTTAAAATTTCAAAATATAAAAATTTTCGGTCAAAAATGACCGAAGAGGCCCAGAGGATTAAACGTGTTTACAGCATTCAGCGTTGATGTGATTTGACCACAAGAGGACACTCTTACCTAGATGTAGTTCTCACCAGAGGCAGCTCATTGCCATAGAATGTTCCTTATTACCAAAAGACTAAAGGGACTTTGTTATTACGTGTAAATCTGGCTTATAAATTTTGTTATTACGTGTAAATCTCTGCAATGAATAGCCGATACCAAATTTTAATATTTGTTATTACTTTTATTTACATATTGATATTAATAGGCCTATTACATTAATTAATATTTTAAATAATAATAATTTTTTCCTTTGGCATTTTTGCCCTGTCCCCACTCCAGTGTTTTTATACATTCTCCTTGCTTTTAGTAAAATGCACATTTTGATAAAAAAAAAGAAAATAAAAATAAAATCTTAAGCATTTTTAAATATTTAAATTTGGTTTAAAATGACACCACACATTAAAGGGATAGTTCACCCAAAAATGAAAATTCTGTTCACGGTATTCAGTTGACGGTAACCATTGACTTCCACAGTATGGGAAAACACTATAGAAAACTATAGACGTCAATGGTTACTGTCCGCTGTTTGGTTACCAGCATTCTTCGAAATCTTCTTTTGTGTTCAACAGAAGAAAAAAGCACATACAGGTTTGGAGAGTTTGTAAATGATTACAGAATTTAATTTTTTTGGTGAACTATCCCTTTAAATTTCTTTCCCATGTTGTGTAAAACAATGTTGAGTGAACATCATTAACATACATAGGATGTTGCAAAAGTAACAAGTTCATATAAAAGGGTCTCAGTTGGCCTAAAATTCACAACTGATGGTGAAAAATAACAGTCTGACATTGGGAGTTTCTTTCATCTTAACTTTGAAAAGTTTCCTAGCTCTCAATGGATAGTAGGTGCCCAGACCTTATACAGTCACTGAGGAATTCAGGTCACACCATCTTTACTTGTATGTCAGGTTTTGAGGGGCTACTGGGTTTTTCCACCCATGTAGAATTGTATAGTGCACTGCAAAGTTAAAAAGGCATTACTGCAGTCACATTGGGCTGACATTTAGAATTATAATCTTCCTTACAGAAGCAATGACGTCCATACTTCACTTCTTTAGCGAATAGCAAAATGTTATTTGCTAATAGAAGAGACAGGATGAGTATGAATGGGAAGCATGTGGCTCTCGGCCAGCAGTGTAGATCTAGAATAAGCATGACTGCAGATCAGAATTACAGAGAAACTGTTGGAAGTCACAATACGCCTTTTTTTCTGTGTCACATGGTTTGTGATCATGGGATAGGCTATATTCCATGCCAGATCTTGCCATAATCATATGGACACACACACACAATACAGTAATAATGTAATTGAAAATTCTATGATTTGGTACATAAATACATTGTAAGAATGTATGTGAAATGGCCTACCTTTAACACATTGCTTGCTGAAATCTAAACTGAAACATTTTAAAAGGGCAGGGTTAAAAACAAACAGCTGATTACAACTAGCAACTGACCCTTCGCTTTGTTGTATTTTACATTTACATTTAGTCATTTAGCAGATGCTTTTATCCAAAGCGACTTACAAATGAGGACAATAAAAGCAGTCAAAACTAACAAAAGAGCAACAGTATATAAGTGCAAATGACAAGTCTCGGTTAGCCTAACGCAGTACACGTAGCAAGGTGTATATATATATATATATATATTTTTTTTTTTTTTACATGTTCCCATTGTGTCATCAGTAACTGTGAAACTGTGACTGTCTTAACATCTTGTTGGTGCAATACAACAATAAAATGGTTAGAATCTGGTGGAAGATGCACTAAATTATTCTATTATCATATGAGTCACAGAGACTTTGATGATAATGCAATATTATGTTGTAGGCTGAACTGTGAAGTGCACCAACAGATGCTTCTTTCTTCCATGATGCACATTGGAGGACTACACTTGATTTTCCACTGTGATCTCACTGAGAATGTATTGACAATAAGAGTCATGCACTTGCTATTGTTTAGACATTAAATTATTTTGCTGGTATAAAAATAAGTAGCCTAAAGCATGTGTGCGGCTAAAGTGTGCAGTTTGTTATTAGACTTTTAAAAGAAACTGTTTGTGCAGCCATTTAAATGAAGATGATCATGCATGCATGGATTTGGTCACATTGTCTGAGAATTGCAAATATAGGCAATAAAAAAGACTCGCATAATCTGAAAAAAGCACAGCATATCTTACAATATCTTTACAGTTAAACGTTTTCATATTAAATAGGTCTAAAGGAAACTGACATTATGAGTTTATAGCCGTTATATTGATATTTCACCGAAGATAATTTTACGTATGAAACGCAAGATGTTACTGTCCTCTGAAGTGTGACGTGTCAAACTAACTTGACCGCACGGGTTCACAGAAACAGAATGTGCAGCCACGGACCAATCAGAAGATCGCACCAGTCGCTGCAGCCAGTCATGTGCAGACTCTGCAAGGTGCATTCTTTTCACCGTTATTTGTTTGTTTGCTCTTTTCTTTTTGGAAGTATTTAACACGATATACTGTCAAGGATACA